TGATGTCAATTTTTTCATTGGAAGGATTTAACTATAAGCTACACAGGAAAACCGGGAAGGTATCCCAGTAAGATATACATACTTCTATAACTTTAACATAGTTGTTTGAGCTATTGGAATTAGCAGCCACAATAATGGGTGTATAAAATTATGTCTCCTATGAAAGATGTTTCAATGTATTAGAGAGTTGTTTTTAGATTGTTACAAATCCTGAAAATAATTTTCATGCATTTTGTTCTATTATTTTGTATGTCATCAGTGGATTATTTTTGTTCCAGGTTAGTAGGTACTTTTGAAAATTTCATTATTTTCTTGGTTTAAGGAAAAAAATTGGCTTTTGATTTTTCCCAAAAAAGAATGTAAAGTAGAGCTATATTTTAATCCAGTATTGAATTGATGTATTCCCAGTTTCTCCCTCAGCCCTCTACCTTTGTCAGTCTAATTGTCTAGTCCAGTCCAACCCAACCCAATCTACTCAAATCTAATCTGTTTTGGGGGATGAGTGTTTTTACCTTCTTAGTTTAGGATCTTCAGCCTGTACTTTTCTATCCTTTATTTAATATTTCATCATTTCTCCCTTAGTTCTGATGTCCTTTTCTGTAGTTATCAGTTTGTTCATACAATAATTCAGGTTTTAGAAGATGTACAATTTGAAGGTGGCAGTAGGGTGGGTGTGACAACTGCACAGTAATTCAGATGAAATGAAAGTAGTGATGATCGAAAAACCAAAGGTAAAAATGAGCTGAGGTTTATGGAACACAAGGATGATTTTAAAACAACACTTTAGTTATGTTACAGTTAGGTGAGTTAAAAGGAAAAAAGCTTAAGGCAGATGACATAATATGGAGAGGTCACATAACGACTAATGTAGAACAGTACAGTGACTTGTCATTCTTAGGAGGAAAATCTACTAATAATTGAGCTTGAGTTTGGAATTGTGAGGAAAAAAGATAAAGCAGAGAAAGTGAGGCAGTAGTAAATAGAATAATGAACAAAGTTTACAGGTTCAAACAAAAATAGTTTTCAGGGTATTGAAGTTTAGATAAAATGTGATCTCAGAATGTCAAGTCATAAAAACATGGAAAATGAGAGAAGCTGAGTGCTGGAAAGATGATTCTCCCCCAAACGGAAAGATTTAGTTCTAAATTTGACGGCACTGCACACAGATCACAAAACAGGTCATCACCTGGAAAGCATTTGAAATTTGGGCCCTCTCTGGTGGCGCAGCAGGTTAAAGCTCAGCACTGCGAGCTGGCCGCAGCAGCTTCAGTGCAGGTGCAATCCCCCGCCTCACAGGTTGACCCACAGGGCGTGGCAGACCTCTCCTGACCCGCCCGCTGCTCCCCTCAGCAGTGTACTTCCTCGATCTGCCTGTTTGCTCCCCACTCTGTCTCTGATGAATTTTCTCACCACCCCTGCCTCTGTATACCCCTGTGTACCCCAGTTCTGTATGCACAAATAAACCTTTAAAAAGGGGGGGGTGAGATTTCCTGGTGGTGTGCAGGCTGGAGAAGTTTGCAATGTGGGGACAGCAGTTCGATCCTTGACTCTGGAATAGACACCCCAAGGAACATCAGCTGGTAGGTTACATTAGTCTGAAGGGATATGTCTAGTAGAAAACACCCAGGAAAGAAAGCAAACTCACCTACTGGTATCTTTTGTGGGACTATGGAATGATGAGGAGTGGACTGCACCTGGCCAGCAGACCACAGTGGGCAGGCTGGATCCGCACACCCTGGGGCAGGACGGCGTGGCCCAGGTGTTCCCTGTAAAAGGAGGTAGACCAATGGAGGTGTGTCTGGACCAGCAGAGGGGATAAAGCCCTGTCATCTTACAGCTTGAAGAGACTATAAACTTCGAAGAGCTGAGTGGGGACCAGTGGGAGAAGATTCAGGAGAGTCTGCTTTAGTAAACTTTGTAGTATTTAAAGACTTCAGAGATGTCTCGATATTGGGGATGTTTTGGTGTTACTTTTATAAAGGGCATTTGCGTACATGGTAATTAAACACATGGTTCCGAGCCTCGCGTTCTCTGAAGCATGGCTGCAGGTTGATGAAGGCACTGTGAAGACAAGGGGGCATTTAAAAATTGTCACGCATTGTTTCATACACCACCTGTTAGAAACGAAACGTTCCTGTGTTTTATAAATGAACTCACTGTTTATGAAGGCGTTTGATCATTACCCATATACCACATGGCATGCTTTGTGATAGGCTGCGATCATATAAGCATATTAGGGAACTACTAAAAGGAGTTCTGCTTGCCAGCACTAATGGGATGAAAAGCCTTGGAGAGAGGATGACTTCTTTTACTTAAATTTTTTTAAGTTGGGGTTTGATGTTTTCATCATTTGTATTATGTATTGCTGACCTAGCACACCAGAACACCTGTCATCCACTGTCTTAGTATTTTTGTGCTCCCTCCCAGAGACAACTTTTTAAAAAAACATGTTTTTTTTTTTAATGTAGGAAATTAATAAATGGTTGGAAACCAATGGACTCAGTTAAGTCCTAACAGACTCTTTAATTATAGAAAGTACAGGATCAGCAAGGCTATAAGATACTTGTCTAAAATCATACAGCTACTCTTTGAACTGGAATCAGAACTTGTCCCACTTAAGTGCTGTAAATAACATGCCAAGAAGTACTAGTGATTTCTTGGCTAGAAAAGTGCTGTGGACAAAAGTCCTACTCATCTGGTTAGACTCCAGGGAGCGCGTGTATTCCTTGAGAACTGGAACTGCCTTAATCATCTTTTCATTCCCATAAGTATTATCTTGTATATAATTTGTGTTATTAAATTGAGTGATATGTCTGAGAGAATAAAAGAGACATGGTAGGAGTACTTCTTGCTTTAAGGAAAAATAAATTTTTGATTGGATATGTGAGAGGTTACTGGGTTTGGTACATGTGTTTGTATTATTTTTTAAAGATTTATTCATACAGAACTGGGGTACAGGTCAGAGATGCTGAGGGTGAGAGGATCCACCAGAGACAGAGCGGCAGAGCGGGGAGCAGAACAGGCAGATCGACGAAGGACACTGCTGAGGGGAGCAGCGGGCGGATCAGGAGAGGTCTGCCATGCGGATCTCCTCCAGGATCTAGGGCAGGCGGGATTGAACTCATGCGGAAGTGACTTAAGTTTCTTAGTACTGTGCTTTAACCCACTGCGCCACCAGGGAGGACCCATATGTATATATTTTTAACGTAGTATTGTGATTTGAATTTTGTTTACATTTGATTCCCTTGGGCTTTCTAAGTTTGATAAACGCATTTACCTGGATTTTAAGCTGTTAGGATTTTTAAAAATCAGTATTTTTCTGACTTCATAATAAGAACTGGGCAGTTTGTAAAGAGGAAATACCCTCTTGTGTATGTGATTGTAAATAAAATTACGTAAATTGTTGCTAAAATTATTTCTTGGTGGCTTAATACTAAAAAATTGTCAAATGCTAATTTAACAAACATTAATTTCATACTGACATCTTTTGGAAGACTTCATTATACAACTTAAGAGGTCTAAAAAGATTTAAGAAAGTGTGTTCTGTTTACAGTGTAGTTAAAAATCTTTGATTTCTAAAAAATAGTCTTTTACTATTCAAAGGTAAACATTTGATAAGCTTTGACAAGCAAATTGTTGAGATGAAATTTTTGTAAAATAATTGCCATTACCAAGGCAGAACATATAGCGTCGTAGTGTTGCTGATTAAGACCTTTTAACTGGGTACGAACACCTTTGATCAAACCTTTTGGCTATGTTGAGTTTTTTTTAATTGAAAATGATTTAAATAACTAGCTAAGGAAATTAAAATATGCTTTTATATTTGGTAGTTATTTAAATAGCATTGCATTCATGTTCCATGTTTGGAAAGCATGCAAAATACTATATTTTTACACACTAATGGACACAAACCTTTTCATCAAATTGCACACAATGTCTAGTGTAGAGAGACAGTTACAGAGGTGCCCAGCTAGCACCGTGACCACGGCGGCCATTGGTAGACAGTGGGTTTCAGTGGTCGGGGCCTAGCCTTTAACACACTGGGGAGCGTTAAGAGAGTTCTTGAAAGAATCAATATGTGAGACTCGATTCATTGAAATCTATTCTCATACTTTTTGTAAAAGAAGTATATTTACACCTGAGAATGAATAGTGTTTTCTTTTTCTTAGAGAATATTGACTTTAGTTATCTGTGCTTTCTTATATTCCCTTGCTCTTTGCTTTGAATCTTCTCTGATCAACTGCTGGGTTAGTGGTTGCATTCAAGGTTCCTTGTTGTGTTCTTACAACATTTGACACTGTTGATAATGTTGCCCCTAAATCTGACACTTCCTTAGTTTTCCTATGTACCTCTATTTCTACTTGACTTGAATCTTTTCATCAGCCCTTAGATGTTGCTTTTACAAGCGTCCTTCAGTCCTTCTTCTCCCTGGACCTGCTTTAAGACATCCGTTTCTACACCTTAAACCCCTAAGAATATGTATCAGACTCAGCTTTTTATTGAGCTCACTTTCTATTGAACATTTTTTTCAGTAGCCCCCCATACCTAAAATAGCTAATGGAACACACAATTTAAATCTCACTTGGATAGATTAATTCTGAAGTATGAGAGAACGTGAGTATTAGTTTGGTCTGATACACATTCTGATGATAGTTAATTGACTGAAGCTTTTGTTTGGAATAAGGACTGACCTCATATAGGCCTGGAGAAAATTAGGTAAAATAACAGTGGGTAGGAACTGTGGCTCCCAAGTTAGGTTTACTACAGTAAATGGTTTGGTTGGTATGAATTTGGTTTCTGGTAGAAATTAACTAAGATTGTATTTGGTTAAATAAAGAACTAACCTAGGGAATGACAGAATAGGTCAACAATTCTTTGCTGCTTTGAGTTTTAACACTTACCATTGAAATCCCCCCCACCCTCTTTATTTTTTTTCTCCTTGATTAGCAAGAATATTTTTTTTGTCTAACACATTTAAAATTTTTACTTTTAACAGAAATTAGCAGAGTACGGAAAGACATGTACAATGACACATTAAATGGCAGTACAGAGAAAAGGAGTGCAGAGTTGCCCGATGCTGTGGGACCTATTGTTCAGTTGCAAGAGAAACTTTATGTGCCTGTAAAGGAATACCCAGATGTAAGTATATTTTGCTGTTTCATTCTTTTTGTTTGTTTGTTTGTTTGTTTGATGTATTTGGGGATGAGATCTAGCCGGTGGTAACTGCTTAAAGCATTGCCAACCACTGAAAAATATTTTTGTGCATGAAACTGGGAGTGTAAATAATTTGGCATGGATAATTAAAAAAATTTTATAAAGTATTTTCATTTGAATGCTACTCTTGCTTTTGGAAATGTACATAGTAAAGACTTGGTTTTAGATTATAATTTGGGACTGGAATTATGGAGAGGACTTGGCCAAGAATGTCAGAGCACAAGCATAAGTCTGTTCTCCTTGACCTGGCTGCAGAGAAGCCAGCATCTGTGCTCGTCATCTTTTCAGTATGAGAAGAGAGCCGGTGCTGGCAGCCAAGTTAGCACCTGTCACGCTAACATCTTTAATGAAAATCAGTGTATTTTGTAGTTTTTGTTTTCATCTTAGTATTTTGCTCAACAGCTCTTCTTATAAATAGCTTGCTGTGAATAACCTCCTTGCTACTAGTTAACGTGCCAATTAATTTATAAATTGGTCCAAATTGTACATAAGGTCCTTCTTGTCTCTCTCACTTCTTAAGTGAGTTCCTCAAAGTACTGTGCCACATTCGTTCTTATATGTAAGTTGGTCCTGACTTAAGGACCTTTATTTTAGCTGTACACCCATCTCTACTGGCTGGTTTCTTCTTGTCATTAAGATTTTAACTTAAATGTCACCTCAGAGAGCCTCCCTTGGCTTTTTATCTAAAAGCCATCTGAGTAACTATTTTGCTTAAGTTTCCCATTCTCCATAATACTTATTCTCTGGTATTTTTCTCGCTGTTTATTTTTCTGTCACCCTCACAGAATATAAACCACATAACCCTGTTTTTGTTACTCATTGCTACATTCAGTATGCATAATATTGACATGTAGTAGACAGCTGATTCCTACTGAATAAGTAATGAGGAATTGGTGACTTCCTGCTAATTTGCAGAGGACTTTCTGAAGTACAAGAAGCAGTTCATGTTTTAAGGTTAAAAACTGTGGTATGTGCATTGATAATGTGGACAATATACTTGTTTGGACATGGGAAATGAATGTCATGTGTGGGAATTAATGGGGAAAGCTTTCGTATTTCACAAGTTGCGTTTCCAGTACACGTTTCCTTAAAGCTAATGCATTTACTGGGGTATTTATCTATCTATCTATCTATCTATCTATCTATCTATCTATCTATCTATCTATCTATCTATCTATCTATCTATTTATTTATTGCAAATATACAAATAGTTCTGGACAGTAGAGGTGAGGAAAGAACTTGTTGGACTATAATTGGGTGTTATACCAAAGATTAAAGGAAGAACTAGAGAACAAAACCTCTGGTCAGACAGGAACAGGCTCTGAGGAGCTAGCAGTGGGGTTTTGGAGCCTGTCTGTTGACAGCCTTGCCCTCCACGCAATGTACAAGTGTCTCAGATTTTACCTTCAAATTTCAGATTGTGAGGAGGGAGAGTGGATTTCGGACCACCTTCCATTACTGGCAGTGTCTACACATGGGCTCCGTGGGCTTTGGGATGTTTCCAAAGGGTGCAGAGCTGCTTTGGGGCAGCTGTTGGGAACTGAAGCCTGTTGTTTCAGTATCTCCTGAAGGATGACTACTTCTTATGTGCTTGTTGAAACTCTAAAGGTTAAAATTTCAGTTCTAGGGCCTCTTTGGTGGCACAGGAGGTTAAGAGGCAGCACTATGAAGCTGTCCATAGCCACTGAGCAGCACTCGTTCAATCCCCAGCCAGGGAGGTGACCCACAGGGCGCAGCAGACCTTGCCTGTCTTACTGCTGCTCCCCTCAGCAGTGGATTTCAGTGGATCTGCCTGTTTTGTTCCCCACTCTGTCTCCGGTGAATCCTCTCACCTTCCTGCATCTCTAGTCTGCACTCCGGTTCTTGTATGTATAAGTAAATCTTTAAAAAACACTATGGTACTCCTTGGTGGCACAACGGTTAAAGCATAGCACTAAGAAGCTATTGAAGCCACTGCAACCACAAGTTCAACCCCCGGCCAGGGAGTGACCCACCTGGCGCGGCAGACCTCTCCTGACCCGCTGCTCCCCTCAGTAGTGTTTTCCAGTCCGTCTGCCTGTTCTGCTCCCCGCTCTGTCCCTGTACTCTCACCTCCCTCACTTCTGGCCTGCACTCCAGTTCTGTATGCATAAATAAATAAATGTTAAAAAAAAATAGCACTTGTAATGATCAATAGAATGTGTGTTATCATATGAGATAGAAATATAAAAATAACCTGCGAGGCCCCTCTTCGTTAAAAAACTCTCCTACTTAGAGATGAAATAAATTGGTATTACATTATTAAAGGACATGTTGCATGCACTCAGAAGGGATATATATATATATACACATTTTACACACCAAATATTTCTTATTATTAGTCACATTATCACAACATAGTATCAGTTTTGTGACTTATTCCTTCATCTCCACCTTTTTTTAAAAAAATAATATAGTAGTTTATTTTTACATCATTTTGTGCCTTTTCCCATCTCAGTTGTCATCCCCGTGGGCTTCCCGTCACCAAATCACCCCTGTGCCATCACCATAGTCCAGTGCACTTCCTTCCCCCTGCCCCCCATTTTTTATCCCATTCCCCACTCCACCCCCATAAAATGTCTGTGGTATATAGTTGTTGTTTCGTTGTTGTTATTCCCTCCCCCCACCCCCCCGTCCTTTATGCTCCTGCTGTGAGCAGTGAAACCATCCAGTATTTTTCTTTTTCTTTCTGGCTTATTTCACTAAGCATGATCCAGAAGGGATATATTTTATGGTGTGGGCCCAGAGGGAGTTTTCACCATATTCCTGTCATTCTCTTCTTTCAGATTCATTGTTATGGTCAACTACAATTTTTGACAGATGTTTAATGGCATGAAATTGTCTAGATACTTAAAGTGTGGCCCTTGAGCTATGCTACCTACACCTCCTGGGGACTTGTAAACGCTCGTGCCCCAGCCCCGACTAGTTGAGCCAGAAACCCTAGTGGTGAGGCCCAGGAGTCCTTTCAAGCCCTATGGGTGATTCTGACTTGGGCCCATTTGGGAAGTATTGCTCCCATTTGTTTAAGTCACCAGAATACTGGGGCTAAAGCGTGACCGTGTGTGTGGGTCTTTGCCAGGTGCTGACATAGGACACAGGTAGCTGTGTGCCAAGCCTCAGAGCAGGCGTTTCAGGGGAAGGACAGACAACAGATTAATGTCAACTTTCAGTACAGTCAGTATTATGGAAGAAATTCCAGTGGGATAAGCAGATAAATTGATTTTGGTGGTGGAGGTGTCTGTTTTTAGGTGTAATCAAGGAAGAACTCTTATAAGAGGAAGAGGATGTGGAGACATGGTAAGAGAGGTAGGGAGGGAAGTGTGGAAATCATCCCTGGGAAGAACATTCCAGGCAGAGTGAGCAGCGCAAGTGCAGTGACTCGGGCTTGTGCATGCTGGGAAAGTGTGGTGCCATGCGAGAGTAGCATTACTTGATCATACTGCCTAGTATGATCAAGGCCCCCATAGGGGTTGTAGATACTAGTCTGAGTGAAATGGGGAGCCTTTCAGATGTTTGGAGCCAAGGACTGATGAGCTCAGTTGGGTCTGAATAGATTTGTTCTGAGAGCTGTGCTGGGAAGGGCTGTGGGCACCTGTGGCAGCAGGAGATCAAGTAGGGGGCAGAAGAGGACTTGAGCAAGAGGACTTGAAGGTGCTTGGCTCCCGCCCAGACTGTCCGGTTAGAGCCGGTAGGATTTTCTGATAGACTGCCCCTGCAATGTGAGGAAGAGTCAAGAACAATTTTGATCAGTTCGTAAGCTAGAAGTGAGTGAGGAAAGGGCAGTGAGCCGAAATGAGTCGGGAGGTGGCACTTTAGCAGTGTTGAGTTTGAGGCCAGATGCCCACATTTGGGCACTGTATCCGTTGTAAAGTGACTCTTGGCACCCAAAAATGCCTGTCTGATCAAGCCTTTTAATGAGACATTTGCCTATGTGACCGGAAGAAAGAAGCAGATAAGAAACCACTTTGGGAATCGCCATAACTTTTTTAATACTTTGGTTTTTCTGTTAAAAGAATTTTAAGTTTAACAAAATTGAGAAGTGTGTAGTTACAGTTTTTATTTCTGCATAAAAGAAGTGTGCAGGGGTGAGAGGATTCACCAGAGTGGGGGGCCAGAGCAAGCGGTTTTACTGAAATACACTGCCAAAGGGGTGCAGTGGGTGAGCCAGGAGAGGTGTGCTGCACCATGTGGGTCACTCCTGGCCGGGGCTTGCACACAGGCCTTATAGGTGATAGTCCTGAGACTCGGTCGTAGATCAAGGAGGCCCAAGATACAGTTTTTCTTTTTTGAGGTTATTAATACATACCAAATGAATAGTGCCTGTTCTGTGTGGTAGATATCTGGAACTTGATTTCACCTTAACATTTTTAAAAATAGTATTAAAGTAACAGTCTGTGTCAGATTGTGGCAGTATGGGTAAAGATTTATTTCAGGATTAATAATTAGATATTGGCCACGATGAAATAAATATGCAGTCTTACTCTTGGGTTTCTTCACTTAATATATTTAGACATCACATAGATTTCTCTACCACCTCCTTTTTGTGTGCTAGCTTGCTTTTGCATGTGAGTTCATCTTCTGTGACTAGAAGGAGCTTTTGCTGTAAAGCCTCGGATGGGAGTGTAGCATGGTGGTCAAAAGTAAGGACTTGGGCCCACAGCCCTGGCTGACTTCTACTTGTTCTGTGTTTTGGGGCACATTACTTGTTCTGGCTCACACAGGGTTCTGGGATTGAGTGAGTTAATATATGTCAAACACTTGGCAGGTGCCTTATGTGCTAGAAGTCCTACCCGACTCTAAACTTCAGAAAGGGTGTGGACTCTGACAGTCTGTTTTTATGCTTCCACTGTGTAGACCTGTGTCCCATAGGTAGTTAATGCAGATATAGTCATGTATATTTGCATGAA